GTGACATTTGATGTGCCGATTGATTCATAGATGGCATCGGCCTTGGATCGCCATTCGGATGTCAAGCTCCGTAGGATCTTTCGCACAAGATCCCTGTCGGTGTATGTCTTCTTTAATGCATGGAGATCATTGACTATCTTGGAAAAACGGTCGAACATGTCGTCGATCTTCTCGTGCTCCTTCATCCTGAACATCTCATTTTCTTGGGTGAGGAAGTCAATCTTGGCTTCACGTACTTGGTCCGTTCCTTCGTACGTCACCTCAAGTTTGTCCCACATCTCCTTGGCGGTTGAGCAGCAGGAGATCTTGCGGTAGTCATCAGGATTTACGATACAATAAAGCATATTTATTGCCTTTGCATAATTCTCGACCTTTTTGATGTCCTCGGCATCAAACTCGTCTTCGGTCTTGGGGATCAACTTGTCTCCGACTTTCTTCATCAGCACCTCTTCCCCGTTTTTGATAACCAACCATAATTAGAAGTTCGTGGAACGAATATAGATTCTCATTCGTTCTTTCCAATATGTATAATTGGTTCCATCAAAAAGAGGTGGCCGTGTGGTTGATTGCCCTTCACGTATTCCTGCATACAAATTTCTAGAAGAAGAACCCATGATCGCTTTACTCTCAAACGGTTAAGTTTGGACGCGAGTTAGGCTTTGATACCAATTGTTAGAATAAGTGACCAACGCTAGAGGGGGGGGGTGAATAGCGTTTGATCGTAGAAATCGCAGGAATAAAAAATTAAGAACGTGAAACGTAAAGAGCGTAGAAAGCGTAAAGGGAGCACACCAAGATTTATACTGGTTCACCACAACGTGTGGCTAATCCAGTCTCCCGGGAGACTCTCTCGAGCTACACTACTTCCGTTAAGCTTACGGGTGCTTAACAAACCGTTACAACCTGAGAACTCGAGTCCCACGAGCCTCAACAACACTTGCTTGGAGATACCGCACTCCAAGACTTCAACCCGAAGGAAAATACCTTTCCTTCGTACAACCAAGGGAAACAAGCTTCCCTTAACGTGTATACAACACTAA